GCCCCCTGACCACAAGTTCACAAGTTCAAATCTCCCTGAAGACAGACTCAAAAACAGAACAGTTTAAACCGTTTGCAGTGTTTCAAACTTATCCCACACTTACCTTATATGCACCTGGAGCATGCTAACGCGCACTTCCTGATCAGCGGTCGATACAAATGACACCGGAGCCTCGTGTTGGTCAATACGTTTATTATGTGAGTAAACTGGAGTCTATAAAGATCCTACAGGTACAGAGAGACAGAAGAGACTCAGACTATTTACACATCATCCACAGAGAAGCTCCTGTCGCACATGCACGGCACAGAGGGGGGCGACTCAGCCACAAGAGCACGCCGCGGACTGTGGACTGTGTTAGAGAAGGTTTTTCAAATGTCTTGGTAATTTCTTGTGTCACAAATTCAGTAAAAAGCAAAGTAAGTGTTGGGTTTTTAAGCGACGTGAACTAAGAAAAGTCACGTATTTTCAAGCAACTTTTGAATAAACTGCAAAAACTGTTTCATATTTCCTTGCAGAACGAGCAGACGACGTGTTTATAATGACAGAATGGTCCTGATACGAACCTTCGTGGAGCGTTTGGACCAATCAGAGCGAGAGCCAGAGCGACCAGAGTCTCTGTCGACCCGGGACAGTCCCAGTTTTGAGTCTGTGTCCCCCGTCCCAGCAGATTTATACAAAACCACTGATTTGTCCCAGTTTTATACAAGAAATGTCCCAGGTGTCTCTACTTTTGACCAATTTTATCCCTGCAAACTGTAAAGCAAGACCTAAACTGTCATTTGTTTGAGTAAAATACTAGTCAGGACTGATCCAGGTCCGGGACCAGACCAGGACCAGACAGGGACTGAGACCGAGACCAGAGGCTCAGATCCCACTGCAGGGCCGGAGCTTGAAGCTGAGGCTCGGACCCCGCGGAGGCTCAGAGTCAAAGCTCGGAGTCCACTCTGGTCCCACTCTGGTCCCACTCTGGTCCCACTCTGGTCCCACTCTGGTCCCGCTCTGGTCCCGCTCTGGTCCTGGACCTGGATCAGTCCTGGTTCAGTCCGGCGTTGCAGTCACGGGAGTCACGTAAACGGGAAACGTCTGTTATCCATTTTTTTCCATTTTTCATTTAAACACAAAATTGAAAACTGAAAAAATGAATCATTATCTGTTTTTCATTTTGGTTTTGGAGACAAATAATGAAGAAAACTGTTGTTTTTTAGTTTTCTTATTTTTGGTTTTATATTGAAAAACGAATGAACGAACGACGCACGGATTCTTCTTCTTACAGGATTTGGAGCATTACAAACGTCACGGCCAAACAGCAGCGACTGTCGAGCGAACGAATCCTAACGCTGCGAGGTCACACGGTTTCCACCAAGTGAAACCAGCTGATGAATCAGGCTGGTAAAATACAGAAAAGCTGCTTAAAAACGACTAAACACAAAGAAAATGTGACTATAATGACTCACATGTTCATCGTGCTTGGGCCGAGTGCAGACATGTACATGTACATAGTTCTTCCTTAATTACGCACTCGTTTTACAATTTTATTTTTACCAATCACCACAAACCGAGAGAATCCCACTTTTTGATCTTGAAAATCTGGAACTTTTAGGCGCTTTGAGGATTTAAACATTTTTTAAAGTTGACGTTGTGAAAATAGAAAATAATCCTACAAAATCCGACTTTTGTGCAAGTTGTCGATGCGTTAACAGAACACGAGCAGTTTGCATTCTTTAAAAAAAAATGCATTTCGCTGCGAGGGATAAATCTTTCTGGGCCCAAACTCCCAGAAAAGCTGCAGTACCTGGAACGACCACTAGAGACATGGGGGGAGGAGCTTATTTAGGCTTATTTATGTATATTTTTGGTATTTCTGTGATTTGTTTCGTGAGTGTCGCCCCCCTCTGTGCGTTTACAGCAGAACTACTGTCCGTGAAAACTTTACAAGGTTCAGTCGGGTTTCGGGGTAAAGGCGCACTGTGTAACTTTTCCGGTGGAGGGTCTGGCGCCTGCTCGTCGCCGTGGAGACGTGACGGATTTACATTGATTTTATTATAATTTTGATTTTGACATCTTTGATTATTTCACAGATGAACTCGGGTATTAGGAACGTGCAAAAATACAGTAGTATCGATATATCGTGTAGTTTAATTTGATTATACAGTATCGATACTGCGGGCTGCTGTTTCGATATATCGCCAAGAGTATTTTTAGGTATAAACTTTTGGGATCAGGAGCTCTAGATTGTGCAGAATTGTCCTTTTTGTCTTCAGTTTCAAACACAAAACTGAAAAAACTGAGGCTCAAAAAATACAAAATAATTAAAAAGTTTCATAATTTCAAAATCACGTGTTTCGATTCTTCGTCTTCATCAGGACAAACTGGAGATTCTGTCACGGAGCAGGTTTAAAGTCAGAGGTGTAGGTCACATGTTCCCCTGGTGCATGATGGGACACGTAGGCTGAAACACTGAAACGTGTTGGTGAGATTTTAACTTTATTTCACATGTGGGATTAAAAGCTTTTCATTATTTTTGTACTTTTTGAGCCTCAGTTTTTTTCATCTTTGTGTTTTTAGGTTTATTTTACAACATTATTTTGTGTAAGAGTAAAAACTGGGTTGACATTTTCACGTTTTTGATGCGTAAAATGGTGTTTTTTATGTTCACTTTGCACAAACTTAGTAAAGGTTTAGTATCATAGTATAATTAAGAAGTTGCCGATAAAATACACACCTCGATACAGTGAGTTTTCAGTTCGATACAGTTCAATAAAAAATGAAGACTAAAGTCATGTCTGTGACACTAAAAGTCTTTGTTAAACCACTACTTGTGCAAAGTTCATATGAAACACAAACATTTTAATCATCAAAACAGTGAAAATGTCAAATGTTTCAAATAAATGAGTTTTCTTCCTCTGAACCAGGAGTGTCAAATTCAGGCCCAGGGGTCAAATTTGGGCCGTGATATAATTATATTTGGCCCACAAGATCAAATCTGTATTAGAGCTGCACGCCGACTACAGATCGACTACAGAGACATTATTCATTTAAAATGTTATTATTTATATGTTCTGGATTCAATGTTTAAGCAAAACTATTATTAAACATTTGTTTGAATAAGAAAAGGTTTAAATTACATATCTCGAAAGAGAAAACATGCAGATGTTGTTGAAAATTTTCAATAAATATTTAGTTTGGCCCACGATTTTGTCCCAGTTTTTAATTTTGGCCCAATGTGAATCTGAGTTTGACACGTTTGCTCCAAACAAACAACAAAACTGAAGCTCTGTAATGAAATAATTTAGTAAAATACACCAAAAAATACTCTTGGTGATATATCGATACAACTGCCCATGATATCGATACTGTATCAGCACATTAAACAGAACGATATATCAATATTTCAATATTTTTATTATCGAATCGTATCGTAGCTTATGTATCGAGGTATGTGTCGTATCAGCAACTTCTCAACGACACTCAGCCCTGTTGGTGATCACAATGGATCACGTTACTGTTCGGCTCTGTGGAGAAGTGAGCCTGGACACAGTATTAGTAGAACAGTAGTATTAGTATTAGTATAGTATATAGTGTACTATAGTATAGTATAGTACTAGTATTATAGTAGAATTCTTGTGTTACATGTTTGTGAAAAACCCTCCACCTCAGTGACACGTTGGACCTTTAAGAGTCTCAACTTCCTCCATTGTCCTTTTATCTTATTTTAATCTAAAATCATATTTATTTAGTTTTTATGACGTTTCCTCAGAGGTTAAATATGGAATAAGAAATCTGAGGGTGTTTGACTGAAGTTGAGCAAAAAATAAATATTTGTACATTTTCAAATGAGTCGAGTCGTGTGTGTATTTTATTATCAGAATATCAAGAGAAAAGTAAAAAGTGACGAGATCAAAAATTATCACGAAATGAACATTTACAACAGGACTAAACCAGGACTAAACCAGGTCTAAACCAGGTCTAAACCAGGACTAAACCAGGTCTAAACCAGGACTAAACCAGGACTAAAACAGGTCTAAACCAGGACCAAACCAGGTCTAAACCAGGACTAAAACCAGGACTAAACCAGGACTAAACCAGGTCTAAACCAGGACTAAACCAGGACTAAACCAGGTCTAAACCAGGACCAAACCAGGACTAAACCAGGACTAAACCAGGACTAAACCAGGACTAAACCAGGTCTAAACCAGGACTAAACCAGGTCTAAACCAGGACCAAACCAGGTCTAAACCAGGACTAAACCAGGACTAAACCAGGACTAAACCAGGACCAAACCAGGTCTAAACCAGGACTAAAACCAGGACTAAACCAGGTCTAAACCAGGACTAAACCAGGACTCTAAAACCAGGACTAAACCAGGACTAAACCAGGTCTGAACCAGGACTAAAACCAGAACTAAACAAGGTCCAAACGAAAGCGTAATTGTAAATTTTCATTTGAAGATTTTAATTCTTGACGTCGTCACTTTTCACTTCATATTCTGATGATAAAATTCACACAAAACATTTTTACGCTCGACTCGACTCACTCCAGAGTTTACGAATTTTTATTTTACGCTCAACTTCAGACAAATATTCTTGAATTTCTGTCGCACGCACACGAATATTTCTGAAATCTTTCGCACTCCGTAGGTTAAAAGTTCTAAAACGTAACTGTAGTTCTCTGAAACAAAACACGCCGGCGTTATTCACAAATCCCCCTCGAGTTTACGAAGTCCCCGCGAGCAGAAGCGTACCGCCTTTTTCCGTCCGTCATAAGAGTGGCGCAGTCGGTGAAGCGTCCGTCCTCTCGCCAGAAGCTCACGCGCCGACGGAAAACGGAAATCTTCTCTCCCCGAACATGCCGTTAAAGAGTTTGGCGTTTGGGCGTTTTGGGCGTTTTTCCCGCTGTGTCCTCGGGCAAAACTCGCCAAACGACAAAATAAGCGGGTTCTTCTGGAGCTGGACGCGCCGGAGTTGCTGGCGTTTTTCCGGTGACGGCGCCCCCTCCCGGCCTCACATGGTGTAGGCGACCCAGTAGATGACGTTGACGAGGGCGAAGGTGAAGGGGAAGACGGCGCGGGCGTAGATGTCGATGGTGTCGGCGTCGATGGGTTTGCACGCGCACTTGGAGCAGCACTTGCGGTCGGGCCGGGCGTCGTCGGGCTGCGGCGGCTGCGGCGGCGGGTGCGGCGGCGGGGTCCGGCGGCGCTCCTCGGGCGGCTCCGCGGGGCCCTCGCCCGGGATCTGCCCGCTGGGACGCTGCGACGGGCGCTGGCGGTTGGAGATGACCACGCCCTGGTTCATCCCCGTCACCGACAGAGAGAAGAGAACCATCGCCTGCTTCCCGTTTTTCACCACCGCCTGAGGAGAACGAGGGAGGAGGGAGGGAGAGAGAGAGGGAGACAGAGAAGAGAGAGAGAGAGAGGGACAAAGAGAGGGGAGAAGGAGAGAAAGAGAGAGGGAGAGAGGAGAGATGGAGGGAGAGAAGAGAGGAGGGAGAGAGGAGAGAAGAGAAAAGAGAGGGAAAAAGAGAGAGGGGAGAGAGAGAGAGAGGGAGAGAGAGAGAGAGGAGACAAAGAGAGGGGAGAGATGAGAGAGGAGAGAAGGGAGGGAGGGAGAGGAGAGAGGGAGGAGAGAGAGGAGAGAAAAAGAGGGAAAAAAAGAGAGAAAGGGGAGAGAGAGAGATGGACAAAGAGAGGGGAAAAAGGAGAGATAAAGAGAGAGGATGGGAGGGAGAGAGAGAAAGAGAGAGGGAGAGAGAGAGGAGAGAGAAGAGAGAGGGAGATGGAGGGAGAGAGAGAGGAGAGAGATGAGAGAGAGATGGACAAAGAGAGGGGGAAAAAGGAGAGATAAAGAGAGAGAGAGAGAGGGAGGGAGAGAGAGAGAGGGAGAGAGAGAGACGGAGATGAAGAGAGAGAGAGGGAGGGAGAGATAAAGAGGGAAAGAGAGGGAGAGAGAGAGGGGGGGAGAAAGAGAGTGGGAGAAAGAGAGGGAGAGAGGGAAATAACGAGGTAAGAAGGAAGAAGAGGGAGGGAGAGATAAAGAGACAGAGAGGGAGAGAGAGAAAGAGATGGACAAAGAGAGGGAAAAAAGGAGAGAGAAAGAGAGAGGGAAATGGACAGGGAGAAAGTGGTGGTTGAGAGATAAAAAGAGAGGGAGGGAGGGAGGGAGGAAAAGAGAGAGGTAGAGAGAGGGAAAGATAAAGAGAGAGGGGGAGTGATAAAGAGAGATGGAGGGAGAGATAGAGAGAGAGAAAGAGATATGGATGGAGAGAGAGATATAAAGAGAGAGGAAGAAATAGAGATGAAGAGATAGAGAGAGGGAGTGTGTCATCATCGGGTTAAACTCCAGACTAAGCAGCTAAAACTAAATACAAAATAAATTAAAAGAATAAAATACAAAACATCATTTATTTACAACTAAAATAAACAGGTGGATTATTGTAGAAAGCGTCTCTCTGTCGCCCCCCGCTGGCCTCACCTCAGAGCCCAGCTGCTTGGCCTTGACCTTGGCCTTCTCCTTGAGCCTGTAGTCGGCGTTGTAGTGGGCGAAGGCGTATTCGATGAGCGCGGCGAACACGAACACGTAACAGATCCAGAAGTACACGTCCAGGGCCTTGATGGCCGAGGCTCGGGGCAGAGACGAGCGAGCGCTGACCATCAGCGTGGTCATGGTCAGAACCGTCGTGATGCCTGAAGGACGACGGGGGAGGGGGACGGGAGACGGGAGACGGGACGGGACGGGGACGGGAGACGGGGGACGGGGGACGGGAGACGGGGACGGGGACGGGGACGGGGACGGGGGACGGGGGACGGGGGACGGGACGGGAGACGGGAGACGGGGGACGGGAGACGGGAGGGACGGGACGGGGGACGGGGGACGGGAGACGGGAGACGGGAGACGGGACGGGACGGGGAGACGGGAGACGGGGGACGGGGACGGGGACGGGGACGGGGACGGGGGACGGGGGACGGGGACGGGGACGGGAGACGGGACGGGGGACGGGGACGGGGACGGGGGACGGGACGGGACGGGACGGGGGACGGGGACGGGGACGGGAGACGGGAGACGGGGGACGGGGGACGGGGGGGGGACGGGAGACGGGGGACGGGGGACGGGGGGGGACGGGGACGGGAGAGACGTTTGTATGAAACACAAACACAACTGCAGGCGCCTCCAACGGCTTCAATTCACACTTTTTTTTTTCCCAGGACTAAAACAGGACTAAACCAGGACTAAACTAGGACTAAACCAGGACTAAACAGGACTAAACGGACTAAACTAGGACTAACCAGGACTAAAACAGGACTAAACCAGGACTAAAACTAGGACTAAACAGGACTAAAACAGGACTAAACCAGGACTAAACAGGACTAAACTAGGACTAAAACCAGGACTAAACCAGGACTAAAACTAGGACTAAAACTAGGACTAAACCAGGGACTAAACCAGGACTAAAACTAGGACTAAAACAGGACTAAACAAGGACTAAACAGGACTAAACCAGGACTAAAACAGGACTAAACAAGGACTAAACCAGGACTGGACTAGGACTAAACAGGACTAAACCAGGACTAAACTAGGACTAAACCAGGACTAAACCAGGACTAAAACAGGACTAAAACAGGACTAAACCAGGACTAAAACAGGACTAAACCAGGACTAAAACAGGACTAAAAACAGGACTAAAACAGGACTAAACCAGGACTAAACAGGACTAAAACAGGACTAAACCAGGACTAAACTAAACCAGGACTAAACTAAAAAACAGGACTAAACCAGGACTAAACCAGGACTAAAACAGGACTAAAACAGGACTAAACTAAACCAGGACTGGACTAGAACTAAACCTGAACACAGTCTATGTCTCTGGTCTGCGAACACCTCGAGTCGCCCCAGAGGAGCAGGAGGAAGTGAGTTAAGTCTTTTGACCCTCTGCACTCTTCATGTGGCCCCGTGTAAAAAACACCCGTGTGTTAGACAAGACACGTCACCCACTTTGCCGAGTGTGAACGTGGTGTGTGTGAGTGACGGTGTTGGTCAAAGGAGCCGATGGTGCAGATTGACAGTCTCACTTCTGCCAGGGCAGCTGTGGCTACGACAGAGTGTGGAGTGAATGAGTGATGAATAAACTACAGTGTGGTGCTTTGTGAGGACTTGTTAAACCTGTAAACCAGGAGTGTCAAACTCATTTTGGTCCGGGGGCCGTATCCAACCGACTTTGATCCCAAAGGGGCCGGATCAGAAAACTCATGTCATATAAACCCCAAAACTAACAATAAGTTCAAATATTTGTGCAGAAAAACGCAAATCTATTACAGAAATCTTTTTTTAATTGATTAACTCTTTTTTTTACAAAATATTATAATATTATGGAAAAAAAAATGCTATTTCAACACAATGTTTTAACATGAACTTATATGAAAATAGGAATAAGTCAATTTTTGTTGTAAAATCCTGCACTCGGCTCCACTTTTCTCATGTTGGACATTTTTCTGATGAGGGTGTCACGGTCAACAGTCAAAACGATCGTCCTTTAAGAGCGTTTGGAAAGAGACAAGTCTTCATTTGTGCTGCTCTGGTGGGAGGGGCCACGTACAGAGACGCTGGAGACGCTGATATGCTCAGCACCGCAGAAAATTACCAATATTTTAATAGAAAATATGATTAAAATATTTTAGTAGAAAATCAGCCGAGGGCCGGGTTAAAGGTCTTGGAGGGCCGGATCTGGCCCCCGGGCCTTATGTTTGACACCTGTGCTGTAAACACATTCTAATGATCTGCAGGTTCAGTTTCAGTTCAGGTTCAGTCGTGTAAACTTGTGTAAATGGGACGTACCCAGAGAGACTCGAGCGGGGACGGCTGATTGGCTGATCCAGAAGGAGACCCAGGACATGGCGACGAGCAGGATGGACGGCATGTACGACTGGATGATGTAAACTCCTCTGTTCCTCCGGAGCTGGAAACGAAGACTCAACCGAGGAAACCGACCGGCTGCAGAACACAGACACACACAGACTCTTACCTAACAGACTGACCTATATTCACTTTAAAAACAGATCCATGTGTCATTCATTTGTTTTTCAAAATAAAACCAAAAATAATAAAACAAAAAAAAAAAAAACTATTTTCTTACCAAAATAAACAGATAATGATTAGTTTCCCATTTTTGTGACTTAAACTGTGATGCCAAACTGAACCAGGACTGAACCAGGACTAAATCAGTCTCAGTCCTGGTCTGGTTCCTGTCTCAGTCCTGGTCTGGTCCCAATCTGATCCCGCTCTGGTCCCGGTGTCAGTCCTAAAATAGGATTAAACTAGGAATAAACCAGGTCTAAAAGCAGGACTAAACCAGGACTAAAAACAGGACTAAACCAGGACTAAAACCAGGACTAAAGCAGGACTAAACCAGGACTAAAGCAGGTCTAATGCAGGTCTAAACTAGGACTAAAACCAGGTCTAAAAACAGGACTAAACCAGGTCTAAACCAGGACTAAAACAGGTCTAAAACCAGGTCTAAACCAGGTCTAAACAACATGACACTTAACAGTAGGTGGACATAACTGAAGGCAGCAGTGTCTCATATAAAAATCATTTCTCTATCAGGATGTGTTTGCTACATTCATGTCGTTTTAAAAAGCAGGACAATATCAAGTAATCCAAAGTAATCAAATTACATTACTCACTTTAAGTAATTTAATGGATTATGTTACAAACTACATTTTGGGGTCTGTAATCTGTAATCTGTAGGGGATTACATTTTAAAAGTCACCTTCCCAACACTATTAACCCTCCACATTAACACTGTTTTACAAAGACACGTTTACATTATGTCTAAATGATCCTTCCTGCTGTTTGTTTCTTATTCCACCAGGGGGAGCCAGAGTTCCACAGATGCTTCAGGGGACAGTGCGGCTCGTACAGCAGGACACAGGAGCAGATCTCGGGGTTTTCCTCTGGAGCCTTCAGACGGGGTAAAGGTTTACAGACGGTTTTAAAGCGCTGTATTCTTTCTCGCCTTCACGGCTGCTGTTAAAACTAACGAGCGCTGAGCTGTGAGCTGCAGTTTCCATGGTAACGGTCCGTGGAATGATGGAGAAAGAGGATAAAAGTCGAGCAGTGACGGTGCGTTCAAGACAAGTCGGAGATCTGATGTTTCTATCCACGATATGAACACAGGATTGAAAAAGGGTCGATCAGTTCATAATGATTTTCCATGTGTTTAAGTAAAAGTGTCTCACATCAGCACAAATATAAATTACTGTAAACCTGAACGTTTAAATTAAACTGATTAAGTTGTGTTTACTCAAAGTTTTAGAAATAGTCCTACTAATTTAATTATGTCAAGTCGCTGTAACATGATCTTCTTTTTGAGTAATTTTAACTAATATTTTTTGATTAAAGGGAACTATTCTGAGTATAAGATGTGGTGCCAGCCTGGTCTAAGCAGCTCTTGGGGTCAAAATAAGTATAATTATAAAGTGTATTATTGTCTGATAAACAGGAAATGTGCTATTAGCATGCTACTTGTTGCTAGATTTACTGTCACAGCAAATCTTCATCCTGGTCTCTGAAAATTGTGAAAAGCTTTTATAAACTCATCGTGTTTGGGACCAGATACAGATAGTACAATAGTACACACTACTGTGTACTACTGTACTATCTGTATCTGTACTGTAGTACAATAGTACACAGTACTACTGTACTATCTGTATCTGTACTGTAGTACAATAGTACACAGTAGTGTGTACTACTGTACTATCTGTATCTGTACTGTAGTACAATAGTACACAGTAGTGTGTACTACTGTACTATCTGTATCTGTACTGTAGTACAATAGTACACACTAGAGCCAAGTTCATTATGGAAACTACCGTTTAACCCTTCAAGACCTAAGAGTAAATTTAGAACATTTGTTCTCTCCCCCTTTTAGCCCTAAAGAATGAAGTCTTTCTTATACATCCTGTTATTTCACAATCTGCTGCTGTACTTGCATCATGTGGCTGTAATAAAAACTACAGGACCAGAAATACAAATGAAAATAAATAAATAAATAAAATTCACACTCTTTCATACAAAACACACAGCAAACATGTATAAACCTTTGGACATATAAAAAAAAAAGATACATTTTGGGCCTTAACTACAAAAGTACAAAAAATTTCAAGTCTGTAAGTAAAACTTAAAATCTCCTTATTGCCTCAAAAAAAAGTGCAATAACCCCTTTACATGTGTTTGGAGGAAAACAATGTTCCTATTGGACACTCGGTTTGTCTGTCCAAACTATGGCCCGTGGGCCAAATGCGGCCCTCAGACACATTTTTCTTGGCCCTCAGACTTCCAGGTGAATTGGCCCAAATTAAATTGCATCAATTAAAAATGTGCATTTTACAGCAATTTTTTTGAAAATCTACCTGGATAAAGCTGATATTTAATATTGAGTGTTTGGTTTTAAGGATCTTAGCGTGAATAAAAGTTCATTCTAATATGTTAAACTTGCACATACTTAAATTCTTCACTGTATTGAGCTCAGTCTCCAGGCCTCGATCAGCCTCTGCTTCACCTGTGTTTAGATCTGTGGCCCTTGAAGATAAAAGTTTGGACCCTGCTCAACATCATCACGTACGGAAATGCAAGGAAAATGCCAGAAATATACTTGGAACGTCGCAACCCTGAGCTTTTCAAGGGATAAAAAGTACGTTTCTATCTTTTTATGGTTGGAAAGTTCTGCGTGGTTTTATAAAACAGGTATCGTAAACGAAACTAAGCGGCTAAAACTAAAATTTGAATAAAGTGCATCATAATTTATTTACAATCAAAATTAACACATGAATTATCCTAGAAAACGTCTGGAATATAAACTGATGCTCTGAATACGCAAGGAAAATGAAGATAAACTTCCACTGTGTTTTATACGTTTTAATGAGAGTAAAAATCCGGTGTCGTGCCTTTAAGGAGAGTTCATCAAATACTCATCCCGCTCAAATGTTCCACAGTGTGGCATTTAACCAACCTATTTTGTATTTATTCAATTGCAGATGGTTTTATAACTCAAGAAACACCATGAAAACCCGACATTCTTACTGTGATCTGACTCGATTCTTCAAAGATCAAACCTGAAAAGTGACAAAACCTGACCTGAACTCACCTGATTTGGAGTTCATCATCTCGGTGACGAAGCGATAGTCCGTGATGGTGAACTGGGAGAGCTCCAGTTTGTCCAGACCGTGGATGTGCATCTGACTCTCCGACCAGTGATACACGATGTCCTCTGAGGAGTAACCATCTGAAAGAACAGGACAGGAGAACATGAAGGAACATCACACACAACCATCTGAAAGAACAGGACAGGAGAACATGAAGGAACATCACACACAACCATCTGAAAGAACAGGACAGGAGAACATGGAGGAACATCACACTCAACCATCTGAAAGAACAGGACAGGAGAACATGAAGGAACATCACACACAACCATCTGAAAGAACAGGACAGGAGAACATGGAGGAACATCACACTCAACCATCTGAAAGAACAGGACAGGAGAACATGGAGGAACATCACACACAACCATCTGAAAGAACAGGACAGGAGAACATGGAGGAACATCACACACAACCATCTGAAAGAACAGGACAGGAGAACATGGAGGAACATCACACACAACCATCTGAAAGAACAGGACAGGAGAACATGGAGGAACATCACACACAACCATCTGAAAGAACAGGACAGGAGAACATGGAGGAACATCACACACAACCATCTGAAAGAACAGGACAGGAGAACATGGAGGAACATCACACACACAACCATCTGAAAAGAACAGGACAGGAGAAACATGGAGGAACATCACACACAACCATCTGAAAGAACAGGACAGGAGAACATGGAGGAACATCACACACAACCATCTGAAAGAACAGGACACAAGATCTTGGAGGAACATCACACACAACCATCTGAAAGAACAGGACAGGAGAACATGGAGGAACATCACACACTCAACCATCTGAAAGAACAGGACAGGAGAACATGGAGGAACATCACACACAACCATCTGAAAGAACAGGACAGGAGAACATGGAGGAACATCACACACAACCATCTGAAAGAACAAGACAGGAGAACATGGAGGAACATCACACACAACCATCTGAAAGAACAGGACAGGAGAACATGAAGGAACATCACACACAACCATCTGAAAGAACAGAACAGGAGAACATGGAGGAACATCACACACAACCATCTGAAAGAACAGGACAGGAGAACATGGAGGAACATCACACACAACCATCTGAAAGAACAGGACAGGAGAACATGGAGGAACATCACACACAACCATCTGAAAGAACAGGACAGGAGAACATGAAGGAACATCACACACAAACCATCTGAAAGAACAGGACAGGAGAACATGGAGGAACATCACACACAACCATCTGAAAGAACAGGACAGGAGAACATGGAGGAACATCACACACAACCATCTGAAAAACAGGACAGGAGAACATGGAGGAACATCACACACAACCATCTGAAAGAACAGGACAGGAGAACATGAAGGAACATCACACACAAACCATCTGAAAGAACAAGGACAGGAGAACATGAAGGAACATCACACAAACCATCTGAAAGAACAGGACAGGAGAACATGGAGGAACATCACACTCAACCATCTGAAAGAACAGGACAGGAGAACATGGAGGAACATCACACACAACCATCTGAAAGAACAGGACAGGAGAACATGGAGGAACATCACACACAACCATCTGAAAGAACAGGACAGGAGAACATGAAGGAACATCACACTCAACCATCTGAAAGAACAGGACAGGAGAACATGGAGGAACATCACACACAACCATCTGAAAGAACAGGACAGGAGAACATGGAGGAACATCACACACAACCATCTGAAAGAACAGGACAGGAGAACATGGAGGAACATCACACACAACCATCTGAAAGAACAGGACAGGAGAACATGGAGGAACATCACACACAACCATCTGAAAGAACAAGACAGGAGAACATGGAGGAACATCACACAACCATCTGAAAGAACAAGACAGGAGAACATGGAGGAACATCACACTCAACCATCTGAAAGAACAGGACACAAGATCTTGGAGGAACATCACACACACCATCTGAAAGAACAGGACAGGAGAAGAACACCACACTCAACCATCTGAAAGAACAGGACAGGAGAACATGAAGGAACATCACACACAACCATCTGAAAGAACAGGACAGGAGAACATGGAGGAACATCACACACAACCATCTGAAAGAACAGGACAGGAGAACATGGACGAACATCACACACAACCATCTGAAAGAACAGGACAGGAGAACATGAAGGAACATCACACACAACCATCTGAAAGAACAGGACACGAGATCTTGGAGGAACATCACACACAACCATCTGAAAGAACAGGACAGGAGAACATGAAGGAACATCACACACAACCATCTGAAAGAACAGGACAGGAGAACATGAAGGAACATCACACACAACCATCTGAAAGAACAGGACAGGAGAACATGAAGGAACATCACACACAACCATCTGAAAGAACAGGACAGGAGAACATGGAGGAACATCACACACAACCATCTGAAAGAACAGGACAGGAGAACATGAAGGAACATCACACACAACCATCTGAAAGAACAGGACAGGAGAACATGGAGGAACATCACACACAACCATCTGAAAGAACAGGACAGGAGAACATGGAGGAACATCACACACAACCATCTGAAAGAACAGGACAGGAGAACATGGAGGAACATCACACATATCGCAGTAGCACTCACAGCTCTCCAGGTCCAGCATACACTCCTGCTCGTCCATGGGGTACTTGGTCAGGTCCATGTCACAGGCCACAGTGGAGGTGATTCTACACAAACATCAGCGAGAAGAACGTCAAAGGAGCATCGAAGTCGCTTAACGAGTCCAGACTTATCTTGAAATCTAGCTCCATCTCCAGTTTAAGCCTCAATTCGAGCCATGACAGAAATAAACCAGAGTCTGAACAAAGAGAATTCAGGCCTGAAGTTTAAGCTGCACTTTGTGTTCGCTGCCGGTGACTCTGAGACGACGAGAGCAACGGAACAACGACATCACGGAAAATGGGCTCAAAGTGTGACTTTTTTAATGGGCTGATTAAGTGAGAGAGGAGCCACAGCCAAGACACAGACAAGAGGATGACTGTGGAGTGTGGAGTCTGGTTAAAGGTTGTATGGAGGATTTTTTTTGTTTTTTTTTTGTTTCAAATTGTCAGTGATAGATTATAGATGCAGTCGCCTTGTAATTATGATGACCAAAAAAAAGAGAATAAAAATTCATCAACTCTGGACGTGGTGGGGCTAAACATTTGCCAATAGATAACGACACTGCCTCGTTATCTGTGAGCTGACAGGCTGTCAATCAAACTCCCTACGTTTCTAGTGTAACTGACTTGCCTGCGCACTGTCGGTACGTGGTTTACGTACGACTGTCACGCAGTCCACAGACGCACAGACGCTGTTTACTCCACCAACGCAACAGTTCTTAGCGGCTTTTTTTGACCTATATCTTCCTCGCAGTTCACACAAAGTTTGTTGCAATGGCGACAAGAATCCAGGAGCAGTTCGCCGCAAAAGAAAGTCCGTTTTTGAGGTGAAAGAAGAAGACAAGGGGAAAAGCAGCGAAGCCAAACTAAGGTGATTCTTGGAGATTCATTCCAGCGATGGCGCGACTGAAGCAGACGCAGGGTCTAAAGACTGACGCACTGGTCCACAAATTACTCCTGGACAGGAAACTTCTGCTTATTATGAAAACGTACTTTATTTCCAAGAGCGAGACAAACGTTTTTCAGGACACGAATGTGATATCCTATGTCTGAAAACGTCAATTTTCAAGGCAAAGAAAGAGTCCGCTTGCTGCTGCGTGTTGTAGCTAGTTCATTCGCACTGAATCTCCGCGCAACCTTCTCTGCACCCCTTTCCTGCTCCTGTCCCCGCTGCCCGATCCGCTCTTCTCCGTCTTGCCTAACCAACACTGTAGTTAGTTGTTTACAAGTCATGTGCAGCGGCTGTAAACAAACCTGTTTCTGGCGTAAGGAGGAGGCGGGAGGAGGTGTTTCTACGTAGGAGCTGTAGGGGAGGGGGGGTGGTTTCACGCATGCGCAACATTTGAAAAAGGACAAACAGTCGCTGGATTTCTCGTTCCTTGGAAAATCCTCTATACAACCTTTAATGCTCCCGGAGAATGAAGTTGCCCGACCCCTTGTAAAAGAGGCGTAAAAGTGAAGGTGCAACTGAACTCTTCACATGTAGCCTAGAAGAAACGATGAAATCCACGCCAAGCTGGTTGCAGTTTGACAGTGAGTACAGACGTGATGAAGGAGAGAACAGACAGAACCACAGTCATCCTCAGACTCCAAACCAGCGTCTGTGTGTGAGGAGAAGCTGCTCCGCTCCTCACAACAAACACACCTGCAACAGGATTTTAATGGAATAAAGATCCCAGGCTTTTATACGGTTGGTGCAGTGTCCACACACACAGGAGTGTGAGCGTACGACCCGTAAAAGTCTCCAGGGACACGTGATTATAAACGTCACTTTATAAAATGCATCAGTATAAAACATAACACTTGTTTAGCATTTTTCAAAGACACTTTACGTGCAAAGACAAACACAGGGGTTTTTCAGACTCTAACTTGTGATGCTCATGCAGAAACTTTTGACTAAACTGTTTCTTTAGATGTTCTTGGAGACAGAGCTAAAGTAATCTTGACAGTTCATGTGGTCCTGAGCAGGTTTGTTTCTGGGTGTTTTTTACTGCAGAAACTCAGGTCGCCTCTGGTCAGTCACTTTGGTGAAACTGAGGCTTTGATAAACCAGGATTGAGCAACTAAATCAGGATTTAGCTTGAACTCACTTCATGGAAAACACCCTGCAACATTACAACATTATTTATCATTTATTTGTGAAGAATAACAACAGTCTGGTTGGCCTATTTATATTTTGCAACTGATGTCATCAACATTGTCAGACGGTGTGATGTTAACTGTGAGCACTGCTCTGTCTGAAGCTTTGTTACTCAGATTAAATCTGAGTTTTAATTTTACACATTCTGACCAGAGAGAAGTGACATCACTGCAAAGAATCAGTTACTCTGTGTGTTATAAAGTTGTGTGTGTGTGTTTTGTGTGTTTTTGTGTGTGTTTTGTGTATATGTACCTGCTGCTGTAGAGGATGTGTGTGTTTTGTGTGTGTTTTGTGTGTTTTTGTGTGTGTTTTGTGTGTTTTTGTGTGTGTTTTGTGTGTTTTTGTGTATATGTACCTGCTGCTGTAGAGGATGTGTGTGTTTTGTGTGTGTTTTGTGTGTGTTTTGTGTGTTTTGTGTGTTGTGTTTTGTGTGTTTTTGTGTATATGTACCTGCTGCTGTAGAGGATGTGTGTGTTTTTGTGTGTTTTGTGTGTGTTTTGTGTGTTTTTGTGTATATGTACCTGCTGCTGTAGAGGATGTGTGTGTTTTGTGTGTTTTGTGTGTGTTTTTGTGTGTGTTTTGTGTGTTTTGTGTGTGTTTTTGTGTGTGTTTGTGTGTGTTTTGTGTGTTTTTGTGTATATGTACCTGCTGCTGTAGAGGATGTGTGTGTTTTGTGTGTGTTTTTGTGTGTGTTTTGTGTGTGTTTTTGTGTGTGTGTTTTGTGTGTTTTTGTGTATATGTACCTGCTGCTGTAGAGGATGTGTGTGTTTTGTGTGTGTTTTGTGTGTTTTTGTGTATATGTACCTGCTGCTGTAGAGGATGTGTGTGTTTTTGTGTGTGTTTTTGTGTGTGTTTTGTGTGTTTTTGTGTATATGTACCTGCTGCTGTAGAGGATGTGTGTGTTTTTGTGTGTGTTTTTGTGTGTTTTTGTGTATATGTACCTGCTGCTGTAGAGGATGTGTGTGTTTTGTGTGTGTTTTTGTGTGTGTTTTGTGTGTTTTTGTGTATATGTACCTGCTGCTGTAGAGGATGTGTGTGTTTTGTGTGTGTTTTGTGTGTTTTTGTGTATATGTACCTGCTGCTGTAGAGGATGTGTGTGTTTTGTGTGTGTTTTGTGTGTGTTTTGTGTGTTTTTGTGTATATGTACCTGCTGCTGTAGAGGATGTGTGTGTTTTGTGTGTTTTTGTGTGTGTGTTTTGTGTGTTTTTGTGTATATGTACCTGCTGCTGTAGAGGATGTGTGTGTTTTGTGTGTGTTTTGTGTGTGTTTTTGTGTATATGTACCTGCTGCTGTAGAGGATGTGTGTGTTTTTGTGTATATGTACCTGCTGCTGTAGAGGATGTGTGTGTTTTTTGTGTGTGTTTTTGTGTGTGTTTTGTGTGTTTTTGTGTATATGTACCTGCTGCTGTAGAGGATGTGTGTGTTTTGTGTGTGTTTTGTGTGTGTTTTGTGTGTGTTTTGTGTATATGTACCTGCTGCTGTAGAGGATGTGTGTGTTTTGTGTGTGTTTTGTGTGTTTTTGTGTATATGTACCTGCTGCTGTAGAGGATGTGTGTGTTTTGTGTGTGTTTTTGTGTGTGTTTTGTGTGTTTTTGTGTATATGTACCTGCTGCTGTAGAGGATGTGTGTGTTTTGTGTGTGTTGTGTGTGTTTTTGTGTGTGTTTTGTGTGTGTTTTGTGTGTGTTTTGTGTGTGTTTTTGTGTATATGTACCTGCTGCTGTAGAGGATGTGTGTGTTTTGTGTTGTTTGTGTGTGTTTTGTGTGTTTTTGTGTATATGTACCTGCTGCTGTAGAGGATGTGTGTGTGTGTTTTGTGTGTGTTTTGTGTGTTTTTGTGTATATGTACCTGCTGCTGTAGAGGATGTGTGTGTTTTGTGTGTGTTTTTGTGTGTTTTTGTGTATATGTACCTGCTGCTGTAGAGGATGTGTGTGTTTTGTGTGTGTTTTTGTGTGTGTTTTGTGTGTTTTTGTGTATATGTACCTGCTGCTGTAGAGGATGTGTGTGTTTTTGTGTGTGTTTTGTGTGTTTTTGTGTATATGTACCTGCTGCTGTAGAGGATGTGTGTGTTTTTGTGTGTGTTTTTGTGTGTGTGTTTTGTGTGTTTTTGTGTATATGTACCTGCTGCTGTAGAGGATGTGTGTGTTTTGTGTGTGTTTTGGTGTGTGTTTTGTGTGTTTTTGTGTATATGTACCTGCTGCTGTAGAGGATGACCCCGTTGGGCTGCAGTCGGATCAGTTTGTTCTCCACGGTGACGTCGTGGAACCAGGCCGACTTGGCGTTGACGATGAACGTGTCGGGGAGCCACAGTTTGTCCACGAAGCGACTGTCCAGCCCCAGAGTTTTGTTGGTGTGGTTGTAGGACAGACGGTCGTCGTGCCAGCTCTGACGCAGGAACACGGTCATGGTGTACTCCTGGAACCACAGCAGAGCGTTCAGACGGGCCTCACAGTTTCAAACGTGGTCCAAAAAAACACATGGAGCAGCTGCATATTCTTAATTTTTAGATCTTTTTTTTCCAGAGAACCAACCAATACACGCATCAAGAATCTCAGACTTCCGGGCATCGCGTAATTCATACTGGGAAGGATTTTCTGAAAAAGTGAACATCAAACCTCCATGTTTGTTTTCCCAGTGGGATGTGTCTATAGAGGCTTTGCACTGTCACGTGACTCCTATAGCAACGGTACCTACGCCGCCATGACACCGGGCACGATATGTCATAGACTTCAGCAGCATCGGAGAAACATGGGCAGGTTTTGTTGTGTATTTAGTTCTTCTAGACGCTCTGAAAGGGATAAAATGATTCGTTTCTTCACTGTTCCTCTGGAAATGACTCATCAGGATCAAACAAGGGAATTATCGAAAAAAAAGACGGGAATTATGTCTAGAGAACATAAACCACGAAGAGATTTCCTATGGTCCCATCAAGACACCTGAAGTTTCATCAAGGTATTTGCTATTTAAATAGTTTCATAGTTTATTTAATGAGAGAAGCACATTTACTGAACTAAAATGTAAAAAGAAAACATTTGCAGTGTGAGTGTGAGTAGAAACTGTATCTTCCAGCACATATAAACATGTCACTCGTCGTAGGACCCATGTTTTCTTTATTGTCTTGTTTATCCACAACTACTACAACTTGGCGAGGATCTTTTCATGGTCGATTCTTTCGAGGTTCGGCTCACAGACTCTTCGACTCGTGCGTCATGTTGATCACAGGAGCTCAGTGTGGGTTCAGTGAATCATAAACTAGTGCGGGTTTTCTTGGATAAATTAATGAAATTTTAGTTCAGTAAATGTGCTTCTTTCATTAAATAAGATATGAAACTATTTAAATAGCAAATACCTTGTCGAAGAGTCTGTGAGCCGAACCTCGAAAGAATCGGCCATGAAAAGATCCTCGCCAAGTTGTAGTAGTTGTGGATAAACAAGACAATAAAGAAAACATGGTCCTACGACGAGTGACATGTTTATATGTGCTGGAACATACAGTTTCTACTGCCACTCACACTGCAAATGTTTTCTTTTTACATTTTAGTTCAGTAAATGTGCTTCTCTCATTAAATAAACTATGAAACAATTTAAATAGCAAATACCTTGATGAAACTTCAGGTGTCTTGATGGTAACATTGGAAATCTCTTCGTGGTTTATGTTCTCCAGACATAATCCGTGTCTTTTTTTCGATAATTCCCTTGTTTGATCCTGATGAGTCATTTCCAGAGGAACAGTGAAGAAACGATTTGTTTTATCCCTTTCAGAGCGTCTAGAACAACCAAATACACAACAAAACCTGCCCATGTTTCTCCGATGCTGCTGAAGTCAATGACATATCGTGCCCGGTGTCATGGCGGCGTAGGTACCGTTGCTATAGGAGTCACGTGACGGTGCAAAGACTCTATTGACAAAGTCGATCTTTTCAAGTCTTTTGAATCATATCACTTTTGTTTCTGGTTCTGATATTGTCATATTTTAGTTTTGGGATTCGGACATCGTTAATTGTGTGGTTGTTGGATCCAAACAGCGGAAAAAGACTCGAAAAATTTGTTTGTGAACTCCATAACTACAAAAGTGAATCAGATGTGTGTGACTCAAACCTCTGTTCAAACTGTTTTTCTTCAACGGAATTGATAAATAGTGAAAGGTGAAGGTGATGGGCAGGATTGATCCACAGGAAGAACCAAAAAGGAAACATTTGACTGACTAAATCATCCCGAGTTTGTAGAGAACATTTTGTATGTGGAGCGACAACAAAGCAAAATCCCGATCCCTCGTTCAACCTCGGTTACGAATTTAAAAAGTCAAAGCCAAAGTGAAAGGCTCCAACTGTTCACCAAGAAACACCTTCCACTGCAAAGAGACCAAGACGTGATGTTGCTGTAAAACCACAAGAACAAGAAAGTGCAGCTCAGTCTGTTTGTCTTCTGCTCCTCTCCATTAACAAACGGGATTTTTTTTTGATGACGCTCCACATACAAAATGTACATTCAAAGACACATTTACTAACAAAGAGCTACAACCTGCCCAGGATTAAATGAGGAAATGGACCTCACCTCATCTGTAACGTCTATAACAGTTTTTCATATTTGTGGCTCCTGTCAGTGTCTGTGTCAGATTTACTTGTGTATAAATTTTGTTCAAATATGTCCTGCTGGATTTTCTCTGTATGACTGTGCACCACTGTCCACAGGTCAGAGGTCACAGGTGATCTGTGCCCAGGTTGGTACGTGCTCATATTATTGTGAGGGATCACTTTGTCCCTTTTTAAAACGTATGTTTAAAAGTGTTTGTTTATACGGTTGTTTGGGGGATTTGTCTCGTGACTTGTACATTTTAATACCTCCAGTAAACACCTGTGAGTTTTACCTGCTCTGATGAAGACGCGAGTCAAAACACGTTGGGGTTTGACATAAAATAAAATGACAGCAAAGCATTTCAGAGTGTGTCAGGTCTCCTTTTTCATCTATGACCCGTTTGTTTATTTCCGTGACACATGTGAAACGAAGGCGTTCATTATTCACCAAACATTTTGAATCAAATGAAATTTCTCTTTGCTCAGATTAACACAGTTCAGTGTTCTGCACAAATCTGCAAGGTTTTCTGGTCCCTTGTGATAATCTTTGTTTCCTCATAAGCAGCCATGTTTAATTTGATGCAGACGAACTCTTCATGTCCCTGATTGGCTAATCCACCTGTCAATCACGCCCATCTGAACTCACGGAGATTCATCATTGACCAGACTCACATCTAAAAGTACTGAAGAAGTGTGAACTCTTGAACCCAGCCATGTTATTACAGTCATTTTCATTATGTTTTGTGAGATAAAGTTAAAAATAATAAGCTTAAACTTCCCAAAATAAAACTTAAAAATACAATCCACAGTTTTAAGTGTTTGAGTTTTTCCCGTGCAGCTCAGACTCACCATGTTGGCCTCGGAGATGTGGTCGATGCTGGCCACCTCGATGGCCATGGCCACGTTGACCGGGGGACCTGCAGGGAGAGGTTAGAGAGTGCATACGGCGAACTACAGCACCACCCACAGGCCCGGCATGGTAAGGCACGGCATGGAAGACTTATACATAAAGAAACAAACACAACACACACACACACAAGGCACGAGTGGCACAGCTCAGATTTTTACTCATAATTATTTTTAAAAATCACAATTTGGCCATTTTTTTAGGTTTGAAATTTTGTGCACTGGGCCAAAACTCTAATGTGCACAGAAATGACTATGTGATCATACATTTTCTTTGCATCTTGGTTGTAAAACTATAATTATTTTTTTATGTACAACAGGTACAATCTCACCAAACTAAGTCAAAATCAGAGAATCGTCAAAATCTGTCATAAGCTTTTTAAAGAAACTGTATGTGTCCTGCAATTTGTTTGAAAAAGCTGCTATAATCACACTGACTCTGTGTCCCCAGAGATATTTTATTTTACTTTTATTGGACAAGAAGTCACTTTTTACTGGATTTCTTTAGAACAGGGGTCTCCAACCTTTTTCCTCAGGTGAGCTACTTTTAACAAAACGAATATTCCAGAGAGATACTAATTTTAGCAGTCGCAGGAAATACATAATAAATAATAAATAATACATATACACTTATACATAAGTGTACATAAGAGCCAGAGGAAGACTTAGATGGGGAATAGTTAGATAAAACATCAAACATAAACCATTATTTATTCATGAGTGCACAAACTCAGGCATCAAAATGAGATTTACAATAATAACAGGCATTTAATTCATCAAATTTGAGTTGAAACTATTTTTGCAATGTTTATTTTGTAATATTTTTTATATAAATAAGTTTATTTGTTTTATTTTTAAATGTAGAGATTGTAGAACAGCTGGTTATAGAGTTTATTTTGGACACATTTATGATTTTCTGCCTTATTTATTATTATTTATGTTTTACACATCGCAAAACTGTTCTAAGGTTCATATTTGTAGCCTATCTTTATTTTTTATTTGAAAGTTTTGCGTAAATTATGAACAAAAATTATTTATTTAATTTATTCATTCATTCATTCATTTATTTATTCATTAATTCATTTATTTATCCATTCATTTATTTATTTATTTATTTATTGCTCATGCCATTATTTTTGCTGGCATCATTTTAAAGAGAATAACAATAACAAAAAATCTGAAAATTAATATAAATACATATTTCTACGATTTTTATTGTTATTATCATTAACAAACTTTTTTTTTCTTTTTTTTTTTTTTTTTTTTTTGAGAAAGAGAGAAATGCAGAATAAATGCATTGCGCAACTAAGAAATAATCATCTGAATAATCCTGATTTCAATATTGACCAAAATAATCGTAATAATTATTTTTTCCATAATCGAGCAGCTCTAATATAACATAAAAAACTTGTCAAATGCTTTTGTAATTAAGAATAAATCAGTGTTACAGTTGTTATCAGTAAAAGTTTAGTTTGATTTGGACGTGGGGGACACAGCGAGGCCTGTTTATGACTTTTAAAATCTCACATACAGTTCCTTTAATACATCTTTAGTATTTTTATTTTATTTATTTATTTATTTATTTATTTATTTATTTATTTTTATTTATAATTTTTTATATATTTTTTTATTTTATTATTTTTTTTATTTTATACTTTTTTTTGTCATTAATAAATAGTTTTCAGTAGCAGTACGCAGCAGTGCCAGCAGAGGGCGCTACGTCCTCACAGATTTAAGGCACAGAAACAGTTCAGGCACCACAGTCTGTGACACGTTTATCGTTGGAGTTTGTGTTAATAAAGAGACACTGTGTCACTTTTTAGGCGGAGCGTCCGGAACCTTTCAGTTTCCGTGGAGATGTCGTGGGTTTGTCTGGAACGTTTCACAAAATGACAAAAACATAAAACTTGTGGAAAAGTGGAAGGATTAAAATACGTTTTACTTCTTCCTGCTTCTTTTTTTGACCAATGAATGAATTTTTTTCTCTTTATTTCGTTTATTTCTCTGTTAAATGTAAAAGTTCTGAGAGTTTGGAGACGATATGTTGTGCCTTTATACATATTTAAATTTGTTTTTTAAATATTCAAATAAACAAAAATTAACTCTAACTCAAGTGCGTGAAGTATTTTTGACGAGAAAAACGCATGTCAGAGTAAATGAGAATTAAACTTAGAATAAACTTAGAACTTTAATGTACAGTTTGAACAAAACAGACAATAAAATAATATATATATATATATAATATATATATATATATATATATATATATATATATATATTATATATATATATATATATATATATATATATATATATATATATATATATTAATATAATACCACAAATTTCAGATTAAAAGTTAAATTCAGTTTTACCAGAGTAATAAACAGTGTTAAACAGAACTAAATTCAGAACTTAAACCAGGTAAACCAGGACTGTACCAGAATAAAACTCAGGTTAAATACCAGAACTAAACAGGTCTAAACCAGGTCTAAACCAGGACTAAAACCAGGAAAACTAAACCAGAACTAAACCAGGACTAAACCAGGACAAACCCTAAACCAGGACTAAACCAGGACTAAAACAGAATAAACCAGAACTAAACCAGGACTAAAACCAGGACTAAACCAGGAACTAAACCAGAACTAAACCAGGTCTAAACCAGGACTAAACCAGGAACTAAAACCAGAACTAAACCAGGTCTAAACCAGGTCTAAACCAGGACTAAACCAGGACTAAAACCAGGACTAAACCAGGACTAAACTAAACCAGGAAAACTAAAACCAGGTCTAAACCAGGTCTAAACCAGGACTAAACCAGGTCTAAACCAGGTCTAAACCAGGGACTAAACCAGGACTAAACCAGGAACTAAAACCAGAACTAAACCAGAACTAACTAAACCAGGACTAAACCAGGTCTAAACCAGGACTAAACCAGAACTAAACCAGACTACTAAACCAGGAAACGGTCTAAACCAGGTCTAAACCAGGAAACTAAACCAGAAACTAAACCAGGTCTAAACCAGGACTAAACCAGGACTAAACCAGGACTAGAACTAAAACCAGTCTAAACCAGGTCTAAACCAGGTCTAAACCAGAACTAAACCAGAACTAAACCAGGTCTAAACCAGGTCTAAACCAGGACTAAACCAGGACTAAAACCAGGACTAAACCAGGAACTAAACTAAACCAGAACTAAACCAGGACTCTAAACCAGGTCTAAACCAGGACTAAACCGGGTCTAAACCAGGACTAAACCAGAACTAAAACCAGGTCTAAACCAGAACTAAACCAGAACTAAACCAGGTCTAAACCAGGTCTAAACTAAACAGGACTAAACCAGGACTAAAACCAGGACTAAACCAGGTCTAAACCAGGTCTAAACCAGGACTAAAACCAGAACTAAACCAGGGACTAAACCAGGACTAAACCAGGAAACTAAACCAGGACTAAACCAGGACTAAAACCAGAACTAAACCAGAACTAAAACCAGGTCTAAAACCAGGTCTAAACCAGGTCTAAACCAGGTCTAAACCAGGACTAAACCAGGTCTAAACCAGGTCTAAACCAGAACTAAACCAGGAACTAAAACCAGGAACTAAACCAGGTCTAAACCAGGTCTAAACCAGGACTAAACCAGAAACCTAAACCAGAAACTAAACCAGGACTAAACCAGGTCTAAACCAGGACTAAACCAGAACTAAAACCAGGAACTAAACCAGGTCTAAACCAGGTCTAAACCAGAACTAAACCAGAACTAAAACCAGGTCTAAACCAGGTCTAAACCAGGTCTAAACCAGGACTAAACCAGGTCTACTAAACTAAACCAGAAACTAAACCAGGACTAAACCAGAACTAAACCAGGACTAAACCAGGACTAAACCAGGAACTAAACCAGAAAACTAAACCAGGTAAACTAAACCAGGTCTAAACCAGAACTAAACCAGGTCTAAACCAGGTCTAAACCAGGACTAAACTAAACCAGAACTAAACCAGGTTTAAACCAGGTCTAAACCAGGACTAAACCAGGAACTAAACCAGGTTTAAACCAGGTCTAAACCAGGACTAAAACCAGGGTCTAAACCAGGGACTAAACCAGAACTAAAACAGAACTAAACCAGGTCTAAACCAGGTCTAAACCAGGACTAAACCAGGACTAAACCACCAGGAAAACTAAAACCAGGTCTAAACCAGGTCTAAACAAGGACTAAACCAGAACTAAACCGGGACTAAACCAGGACTAAACCAGGAACTAAACCAGACTAAACCAGGACTAAACCAGAACTAAACCAGGACTAAACCAGGAACTAAACCAGAACTAAACCAGGTCTAAACCAGGTCTAAACCAGAACTAAACCAGGAACTAAAACCAGGACTAAACCAGGTATAAACCAGAACTAAACCAGGTCTAAACCAGGTCTAAACCAGGACTAAACCAGAACTAAACCAGGACTAAACCAGGACTAAACCAGAACTAAAACCAGGTCTAAACCAGGACTAAACCAGGACTAAACCAGTAAACCAGAACTAAACCAGGACTAAACCAGAACTAAACCAGGTCTAAACCAGGTCTAAAACCAGGACTAAACCGGGACTAAACCAGAACTAAACCAGAACTAAACCAGGACTAAACAGGACTAAACCAGGACAAAACCAGGACTAAACCAGGAACTAAACCAAAACTAAACCAGGACTAAACCAGGACTAAACCAGACTAAACCAGAACTAAACCAGGTCTAAACCAGGTCTAAACCAGAACTAAACCAGAACTAAAACCAGGACTAAACCAGGTCTAAACCAGAACTAAACCAGGTCTAAACCAGGTCTAAACCAGGACTAAACCAGACTAAACCAGGACTAAACCAGGAACTAAACCAGGACTAAACCAGAACTAAACCAGAACTAAACCAGAACTAAACCAGGACTAAACCAGGACTAAACCAGGACTAAACCAGGACTAAACCAGAACTAAACCAGAACTAAACCAGGACTAAACCAGGACTAAACCAGGA